AACCCACCCCGAGCACAAATATTCCGTTACTTTCGTATCAAAAGTCGGAACAAAAATCTAATTATACTTGAGCTAAACTAAAATTGTTACCGAGTTAAGTGTAAATAAGATATTGTAAGCGGTCTAAATTAAGCATACATAAGCATGCTCGCTCGCTTTACTCGCTCAAAATTAGACAAAAATCAAAAACTTCGACCCGGTTTTTCTCCACACTGGGATTGTTTTTTTTTTGTTATTTTGTTAATAGCGTTCGAATCGCTATTAAAAGAGTGGTAAATGATAGATAACTTGATCAATTCCAATAATTATTTGTGGTAACTGAGTTTGCGTCATACAAAACATGCGAATACAAATTTCCTATCATTTTCAATGGTCGTAACAACGAGGCAAGCTACTTTGTCTCAAGTTACGTTTTTTTAACTTAATCTATCATTGTATCAACATTTAATTAAATGTGCCAATATATTTGACATGTGTTAGGTAAAGTGTGTTTGTGTGCGTGTATTCAAGTGTATGTGCCTGCTACTGAAAAAAAAATGTATAATTTTTGCGAAGTTCCATCACTTTTTTTGAAATCAAATACAACTTCATAGACAACGAAGGACAGTCAGAAATTCAAGGTTTTGCCCTTTATTACGAGCAGTTTTACTGATAACTTGAATCGATAATATGGAGCAAAAAAGATGGCTATTAGCTCACTTAAACGGAAAGTTTCAAGCGACAGAACTCAAAAATTACTAAAATCAAGTTGGAACTCGGAGTGTACCGACTGCTTTTTCAAGTATCTGAGGTATTTTTTTTGCTGAAACCATAATCTCGGAAAATCTCGGAAAATCTTGTCACAACCAGGGGCGGATCTAGGATTTTCTCGAGGGGGGGGGGGGGCGCAGATATTGATTTTCCGAGCTCTCCTAGAGCACTAAAAAGACGCTGTTTTGGCCAAATTTTCTGCGCCGCAGGCTAATTTTTGAAAAAAACAAGTCAAAAAAGCCGTTTTTGGGCATTTTTTGGAAAACTTTGACCAAAAAATCGCGTTTTTTTGGCGCGCGCTCCCCCTCAAAGTTAGTATATATTGGCGCCAAAGGCGCCTTTACAAAAATTTTAGGGTCGGTCGGCCAAAAATCGATTTCTTAAAAAGTACCAAAGGGGGGACCCTTTGGGTCGGGAGGGGGTCGAATCCCTGAGGGGGGGGGGGGGGGGGCGTCCGCGTCTTGATTTCGTTTTACCAAAACGTTTGTAAAAATACAATCAGTAGACGTGCTTACTAAATATAGCAGCAATCTAGTCCAGATCATCTTAGGTGAATAGGTATAATATTTTGCATACATCGTTGAATAAAGTAATTGTTGGTGGTAAATATGACCATTTTTAAACAACGCTCAAATTCAGTCACGTTTGGTAGATAGTTGAGTCACAGTGACTTCAGAAATTACTTATAGCTTTCGTTAGAACTTCTTTCGTTAATTCTTAAAGTAGATTTATACTTCAAAATTGAGCTTTTTGTTGTCAAAAATCCATTGTTCATCCGATTACAAAGCAGAAAATTGTTGGATAATATATTTTATACCAAAGCAGTCTTTTATAACCTAGCTATAGCTGTGTTTACAGACGAGATAAATTAGCGACAACTAACACTGTTCGCACACACTATTCTTGTTATGCCCAACGTTTGCGCAGTGGAGGGAACGGAGTAAGCGCAAGCTAGATGCCAAAGCCTTCCGTAGGCGCAACTACGACCTTATAATTCGACCAATGCGACTTAAGTTATTTAATTTTTGACCGGTGAAACCAAAAGTGTTTATATTTGAACAAAAAACAGCTTATGAGTTATAACCGAAGGTGGTTAACTCATAGAGTAATTTCGGATAGGGTACACCGTCTGCTCGTCACGCTATCTTATTTTCGGCCGGATAGACTCGTGCAACTTCTTAGTCTAATACCGATCCTAATCTTACTCTTATATCTACTAGTCTCAGGGTGTTTAACTAGTCTCTGCTAGGCTCAATAGATCTAGAGTATACTGGCTTATTGCGGCAGCTGAAGTTCTCTTGGAGAGGCAACTAATTTCTAAGTTAAATTCAAATCTCTCTGGTGCTGAAATTACAAGTAATTTCAGCACTTACAAATAAGTGGGTTGTTAGTTGGATGGATTATGATTGGTTAATATTAAATATTTTACAGTGGTAAAATATCTAATTTATCCAGTAATAAAATGTAGTTTAGATCAGGTTCCACTTAGGAAGAAACCCAAATATAAACAAGGATAGCCGGTTGCTGTGCAAGTAGCACAGAATGTTCCGACCACGATAAGAAAACTACAAATAAAATTGTTTTTTTTTCTCTATCTAGTGTTGTTTTTGTGCGTTGTGTGATGAGAGAAATATACAAACGCCGCCTTAAACCAGTTTTCCGTTTAGTTAAAGCAAGTTTTCTAGGTACCAAAATAAAATGAACGTTATTCGATTGCTCTAATCGCTCAAAACTCGATTGAAAGGCATAAACTTCAAATCGGCTTTTCGTGACACTGTCAGAAAACATTGAAAAAATTGTTACATGTCGTCCAAATCACAATTGAAAGGGCTTTATGGTGATATATCAATCAACCAATTTCCTACATTTTTGTGGCACCTGATTTTGCGAAGAAAACAAAAAGTAAAACAAAAAAGAAAAAACTAAAACAAACCTTAAAACAAAGTTGATCCCCATTTTTAATGGTCGGAATAATTATGCCCTTCACTTGGTATTTTGTGGCAATGCTAAGCCAGTGCACATTCAAAAACGCTCATTCATTGGAATAAGAATGCGTCGTAGCATTTTTTGTTTCAAATAAGAATGCCCAATGAAGCGGAAGTTTTGTATAAGTTTGCTACAAGAAATTCAATCATACAAAAAAATTTGTAATTCTAACAGTATTATTTGCCATTTGATCAACTATTTTCTTCTGCGGGAGTTTTGCATATAATGTACTAGATTGATCCTCCTGAAAAATCTTCTTCGCAATTAACATCTAACCGGGAATATTTACTGCTCAATTCATAAATCTGATCTACCCGCACTGAGGTTCGATGTATGATAATCCATTATAATGGATTTTCATGGTCTGATTCTATAAAACATTTATAAAAATGATTATAATGGATTAATAAATTGAACAAAAAAAATCAGTTTAAACCATTATAATAGATTATAATGGATTATGACGGACCATAATGGATTAGATTGAATTATAATGGGTTATAATGGGTCATAATGAACTACGATGCATATTTTTTTTACGCAAGAGCCGAATTTTTCAAAAATGTTCTGTATTATTTCAAAAGTTGAACACTGCAAACGTTAAATTGAGATTTACATTTGGCTTGTAAATTTTGTTGTATTATTTTTTCTCATTGTTTTGTTATTTGGTCTATCACAGGCCCTTGTTCATTCACCCCATACTTATGCCTGGCAGTCTTACTTCCTCCATTTGCCACCCAAATTACGCCCTTTACAAACGTTTACCACCCACCACCCATCTCACCACCTATTCCACTCACCATCAAACCACCAACACTTGGTGGTGGAGGAGGTTTCCGAGAGTTCGGCAAGGTGGGGGTAAACTGCGAGGGGAGGGGGGGGGGGGTAAACTGGGGGGAGTAAAAGGTGGGGGTGAGAGGGGACTCCCGGGGAGGGAAGTTAACGGGGGGGGGGGGGGGGGGTAACTGGGAAGGAGATTTAAACTGTGGGGGGAGTAAGCTGGGGAAGGGATGTTAAACTGTGGTGTGAGGGCTTAAACTGTGGAATGTGGTTTGGTTTAGGTAAATTAAGGAGGATGAGGGGGGTATAAACACGGGGAAAAATAAATTGGGGGAAGGGGTGAACATGAGTGGAGAAAAAGAATCCTGGGTTGACCTCCACAGACCGAAAATGCTAATCAACAAAGTCTTTGAAAAAATACTAGTCATACAAATTTCATACATTTGCTAAAATGGTGTCATCGAATTTTCAAAGAACTTTTTTCTTGTTTTAGCATATATGGAAATTGTATGACCAGCATTTTTTTGATGGCAAAAACAAATCTTTCTGAAGTAATTTTGAAATTTTTCCAGAAGTTTTTTCATTTTTTTTCAACCGCAAATCGAAATTTGTACTCAAATAAACATTTTCCTAACAAACGTTTTTTGCACGCAAAACTTGATTTTTTGTTTGCATAACGTAGTTCTGCATACACAAAAAATGGGAATTTTTTCCGTTTCTGGATAACATTTTTTTCTAAAACGCTAAAAATTCGTTTTTTTTTTGTATTGCACGTTTTTGTGTGCCTTGATCTGATAATTTATTGCAATTTTTGTATTGCACGTTTTGTCTGATAATTTAAAAATTCAAATTTTAGAAATAATCATTATGAAAAATTACTCTTATTCAAGTTAGGTTGTTTCCAGTGCAATGAAAATGCAAGACGGTCAAATTTTTGGTTACTCTAAATTTGGGTAAACCATGGTTTTTGTCACTTCTGTTCAGTCACTTATGATTAGCACTTTCCTTATATGAAAATGGCAAGACTAGCGTTTTTGGTCAACCTGGGATGGCAGATGGGATTAAGCAAACGATATAAATTTAAGTAGGTTTAGAATTCGAGTAGACCATAAATTTTGTACAGATTATGATCCATTATAATCCATTATAATGGATTTTAATGCGAAAATTTTGTACAGATTATGATCCATTCTAATCCATTATAATGGTTTTTAATGGATTATAACCGATTTAAAATTTTGGAAAAAAAATGAATATAATGGATCACAATCGATTGTGTGGTCCCAAAGTGTAATTATAACCAATTATAATGGCAAAATTCCTGACCACAAAAGTGGAACCTCATTGCGGATAGAGACTTTTAAATGCGCAGTATTTTTTGCTTGATATTTTTAAGAAAACCTTATTTCTCTTGAAAAATTATAGTGCAATTTTCCACGGCTTTATGTTTTGACCTTGAGTTTCATTATAGAACCTGTGCGAATATGGATTTAGGTTTGCTACAAATCGTTAATTGTTACGAGTTATCGCTCAACAAATTTATACAGAGGACTAAAAAGGTAAGATCCATTTTCAAATTTCAGTTTTAAAAAATTAATAAGTTTTCGTGAGTCTTTCAACTGTTTTATTACACTGTTGTCAGAGGTTACCAAAAGCTAACTGCAGAGCAAAAAAATCAGTTGTCCAAAATAATTCGACTTAGAGAAATACATTTATTGTAATTGCAATTAACAGAAGTTTGCAATGAAAACTGTAAGATAGAACTTCCAGCAATTAGTGGCAAACTATTAATTGTGCCAAACCTTGCTCATAGTAGCGTTGCTTACTTTCTGATTTCCGAGGTAACTGATATAAAATTTGTTAACGGGATGGTTTTTTCTCCATACAAATTTTGAAACTGTATTTAGGAGATTTTGACTGATTTTAAAAAGCTTAAAAATATTGATGTTTTGAGCTTAAAATCAAAAACATATTTTACCTGAGATTGTTTTTCGCAAAATTACGGAGGCTCGAAAATGTCCAATTTGGAAATTTTGGTGGGATAATCAATGCTCTTGTTTAACATTAAAGCGTAAATTATGCCGGCTCAGAAAACAATCGAATTTTATTGAAGCAAACTAAATAGTCCAAATAACATTTTTCTGAATAATGAACATATCATTTTGTCCTTGACATTGCATTGCATGTCGGGAAGAAGATACGCAAAAAAAATCTGAAAGTTTCAAGTTTTCTTTTCGAAATTCATTTTTGCTACTGCAGATAACCTAAGTGTCAGTCGGAAAAATTAGAGCTCTAAGCAAACCGTTGAGATTAAATATTTTACCCAACTGTTCTAATGTTACCTGCAAAAAAGACTGTTCTCCGTTTGTTTCTGTTTCTCGGCCCAAAACGGGAGCCAATTCTGTGAAGCAGCGAGAATCGTACGAAAACTGAAAACGTTCTCCTAAGCTAAATAGTTTCACTCTCAAGAACCTCGGAAGCTATTGGGTCTAATATATAACGAAAATTGAAGGAAGTTAATAAATTATCATATTTATTGGCCTGAAAATAGAGCGATTTCAATTTGCTAGTTATGGCTTCGGATTTGAATAGAACCGAATTTCCATCTGATGAGCTTACCATTTTACCTCGTAGTTTCAAAAGTCTCGACAATCAGAGTAATTTCGAAGCCTCCGGTAGCGTTAACTTCTCTGTTCAGCAGATAAAATCATTACGCATACCAGGATATTATCTGAACCAACTCCCCTCAGATGAAAGGGAGATTGAAATCTACGATATGAACAGAAAACTGTACGACAGCAAAGCCTTCCCACTCGCTAATCTCTTTATTCCAACAGCCGAGGGGTCGTACATGGACCGCATAATAGTAATTAAAAAAATCGAAAATGTCACTCACAATACCTTTGAGCAAACGAAAATGTCCATGTTATCACATGTGAAGGAAATTAAGGCCGTTTTCGAAAATCTGCTTCTTGATTTTAACGAATCACCAGATCAAGTACCGATTAATTTCGTCGTTTGGTCAAAAGCGAAGATAGAAAATGATGCCTTTGTTGAAAAATTAACCGAAGATCTGCACAATCATCTTACCAATGATTCAAAGAGCTCAATTTTCGAAATGAGAGCCGCTTGTGTTTTGAACAAAGACTCCATTGAAGTTCGCCGCAAAATTTTACTTCAACCAATAAACTCTTGCTCTTCCCCAAATCGTCTGCTTCAAGCCCTTGTCTTTAAAGTTCCCTCCGAGACCAGGTTCCAAATAACACGAAGACTCTTCAATTGCGCGGGCTCCAAACCAATCACTCTCAACGACATAGAGTGTACACTTAATCTTTTTAAAACGTATTTCCCTCGAACAGAAAACTGCTTAGAAATGTTGCCCGACTTCGACAGAATTTGTGAAAACTTACTTGGAAAAATAATCGATTGTTCTCTTTCAGATGAAGCCAATCTTTATTTGGGAGAAGTGAAAGATTTCCAGCAAAAAGTGATCTCGCATTTGAAGAAACCTAGAGGTCTGCTGATTCATGGGTACAAGGAACACCATTTGAACCAAGTGCTGAGACAACCCTGCAACTGTTTCTTCGAATTTGATTGGCTTTTAGTGGGCAATGGCTTGTTCACTATTTTCGAAGTGGGCCGAAGCAAAAATCCATCTTCGCCAATATCTACCGCTATGAACAAGCTATCAGATGAGAAAAGTTTGCGGCAAAAGCACATGATGCAGAAAATTGTTTACTTTTTTCTCAGAGAAACTTCGAAGTTGTCCGATGACGAATTGAAAGAAGTTGTCCAGAAATCAGTTAGATTAGTGATAGTCTTCACAAATACTACCAAAGGAGCCCTTCAGGAGAGCATTGACAAAACTAAATCACTGAAGAAGTTGAAAATTATGAAAAATAAACAAATCTTGATAATGACTGGCGAAAACGCAGATATACTCAATCATACAATAAGCACTCCTGTATTAAAGTTGTTTGAACTTGATGCAAATTTTCAACTTCAGGTGTCTGCATTGAGCACCGATGATTTATTCAGCTCTGACGTTGCGCGAGACTTGAGTTTGAGCGAGGAAAGTGGTAAACTGATAAAACATATTAGCGCCATTTTGTCTTTCTCATATCTACTCAACTTTGACAATAGTCACCCAAGTTCGGACCTAGATCTCCCCGTCAAGTGCCCCCTAGGAGTCGATGACCGACTTTCGAAAGAAATCAAAAATGCAGCACCTGGCACTTCACATCTTGACATCGTACTGAGTCCCCAGCAACACAGATTACTAGATGAAAACCCCAAGAAAATGTTCCTGGTTGGAGAACCTGGCACGGGAAAAACTGCAGTTTTGCTGGCAAAAGCATTTTATGCAGCAGTGAACGAAGATGATGTCAAACATGTTATCATAAGCTTCCCGTCAGAAAAGACGGAATTCAAGGAGTTAATTGTCAACTTATCCGAAAGTCAAAATATTCCCCCAGAAGCAAAAAAGAAACTGAAGTTTTTTACTTTGGACCAATTAGCGCACATAGCCGAAGCTCATATGCCGCTCAACAAGTTGAACGAAATGACAACAAACCATATTAAGCTGTTCATTAAATTAGAATCAAAAGAAAACAAGGTTCTGCTCTAATAGTTCTTGTTTTCGCAGAGGCGTTTTTTGTCAAAATAAAAGATTGCTAGTTGGCCGGAAAGCCAAACTCTAAAGTGAACACAAATAAGAACGAGGATAGCCGGTTACAGTCCAAGTAGCACAGAATGTTCCGACCATAGTCTTAACAAATACAGCAAAGTTTTTTCAAATTATTGTCGTTTTTTTTCCGGCGTGGTGTGATAAAAAAAAACTGGAGATTAAGTATATTCGACAGTCATAGTAAAATACGCAAATTGAAAAACAATTTTGAAGAAACATGACCAGAAAAACAAAAAACAATCAGAAAAAAATTTCTTCAATTTTTTTGCATTTTATTCTGATTTTTTTGAAAATTTTGATTCCAAAGGTGCTCTAAAATACTAAAAAAAACTAATGTTAATCGAGTGAAACTAAGTTTTTACATGTTGAATTCAGTCATTGCAAGCCACTGAAATAAGCTATTGTAAGCCTGCTCCCTCGGTTTATTCACTCAAATTAAGACGGAAATTTAGGGTAAATATCTCCCTTGTTTTGATTATGGGAGAACCAGCAAACTGACCCGATGTCAACAGCTCTTCGTATATCCCACTATACCGTTTATCACACTTCCAATTCCTTAATCCTAACCTACTTCCAAAATCATATACCGTTTATCAAACTCCCGAATCTCTGGTATGATTTTTTACGTACAAACAAATGACAAGTTTATTTGAAGTTTTTGCTGCGATTTCCGTAAAATTTTTGTTCTCAATAATTTCTCTTAGAGATCAACTTGTTGAGCATAGCCATGTCAATGTCCTACCAGATTCAAAGTTTTCTGTGACAGACTTGCATAAATCTATACTACTAATGGACGAATTGTATTTGGAATCAACTGACACTTTAACGGAGCAAGACCAATTTCATATGAGATATCTTGAATGCTGTTACCATGCCAAACAATGCTGGATAACTAACCTCGTGGCAGGTCAACATACAGTGCAGAAAAAGCTCAGCCAAAAAACGATGCTTCCTAATTTCCAAATCAAAACCCTCAATGTTTCTTTCCGAAGTGCACATCACATTAGCACTTTCTCCACAAATTTCATACATAAGTCCAAAGATTTTACTCGGACAAGTGTTCGAATTCCTGGATGTTTGACATCGAAACAAACAAAAATTGCTCTGCAAAAAATATCCTCAGCTGCTGATTTAGTTTTGAATGACGAAAACAACACAAGACTATGCTACGGCTCAAATAGACGGGCACTCGTGTTTAGCGATAAGCCAGAAGTTTGGAAAGAACGATTTGAATCGGAACCTTTAGTCAAACTTACAATAGTATCTCCTCGAACAAACTTCACTTCAGCGCCTTATACTGGTTGCGAGGCTTGGTCAGTAATCATCATAGTAGATGATTTGCCTCATGAAATTCATGACAAGAGGACCTTCGGAGTCCTGAATTTGGCCATCACAAGAGCGCAATATGAAGTTTGCATCTTTGCTGCAGATTCTGTTTACAAGCGAATTGAGAACTTTCTAGAAGAAAATGAATGTTATTGGGAGAACATTCTGATTGATGCCGCTAATCACACCCAAATAGATCTCAGTTTTCTGCAGCCTTGTAGTAAGTGGGACAAAAAAACTAGAGACTTTGTGGTAAAATTATTCCAGATTTCAATAATGAATTCCAATACGACGCTATTTGAGAAACTTCTGGACTTGTATCCAGGTGAAGACGGAAAAAAGCATCTCCCGATCCAAAAGATAATTTCGGCCTTTGATGGTCAAAAAACGGATGCGTTTGTGAAGGTGATGTCTGACCGTGTAGGGAAACAGTTCATTCAGTTGCTTACATACTCTATAATGGCAGAATGGATCCCCTTCTTAGACAGACTGGAAACCGTTCCAAAAGCATCAGGTTAGGCCACACCAATGATTTACAAAGAATTTCTACACTATACGTCATTTTATAGCTGCTCTTAAAAAGGTTGGGTGTAAAAAGGGTGGCTGCCACGATCGCTGCCACGAAAACTCGCAACAAAACACAACAATCAAAGCTCAAGGAAAAAGACGCAATTTGCAAGGTTGAAAATAAGTGTAGAACGCGGCATTGGCAAGTAGCGGCCGCTTGCTCTGCTTCATTTTACATTCGACACGATTAGTGTATGCGCATGAATTAGTGTCTAGCACTCTATCTGATAAGAGAAAGTTTCGTCTTTTGTTGCGGAGTTGTCGTATTACGGTTACGACGATCCCTGTCGTATGTTTCTTTTTCAGACAAACTTTCTTTGTGTGATTAGATATGGCGGAGGCTTCTATAATTGTTGGAAACTACAAGTCTATTGTTGACTGGTATTTCGAGAGACTAGGATCACGGATATTCAAGATGTTCATCAAAAACTGGGGGCGTCTTTTGTATGCAGCATGCTATACTGGAGATCCCAAAGCAGTAGAGTGGGCACTCCATATCTTTGACAGGTTAGTTGATATTGTAAGGGCGAGAAGGTAAAATCTAAAAGTGACGAACGAATCGCGGCATTAAAGGAATTAAGTTCCTGAGAGCATAAAAATCGTTCTGCTGTTTTGATTAAAGAGAACTTTCTAGATTTTTGAACAAAAAGCAACCACATCTTCCAGAAAGCTGAGAGCAACGATGGATTTCAACTAGAAGCAAAAGGTTGTGTTATGAGACTTGAATTAATTTGATATACGTTTCATCAGATAAAACGAGGTTTCTTTTAGTTTGTCATTTTTTGCTGAGCTTTTTTTGCTCTTCAAAATCCAATCCAACCCATGGGTAGCATTTTCGTTCGCACCAAGACTGCTCAAAATGCAAGAGCAATAATAGAGCACAAACGAGTTGGAGCTTTTAGCGTTCGTCTGGTCCTGTGCTAAAATAGGTAATAAGTTCTGCGCTAATATTTAATAGGTAATAAGTTCGAAGTATTAAAATGTTATTTGAACGATCAAAAAGCCATCGTATCAGCTGTGAAAACGAACAGAGGAAATATATCTTACCAATCTCGTTTATTACGACGAGTGAACTGGCTGTTACATTTTGAATTCGAGGTCAATCATTTTGCAGGCTCTAAATTAGGTATTGTCGATTTCCTTTCACGACACCCATCCTCAGAAGCCCCCAAACCTTCAAAACTTGATGAAAAATTTAATATTAAACCAATCAAAAAGTTGTTTGAAGCATGTGATAACATTGGGAAGATGGTCCAATTGGAAAAATCACATCCTTCATCAGAAAAAGACACTTCAGCTACATCTTACATATCACCGGCGTCATATCCCAATTCAACACCGACAGTTTCAGATACCCGGCTTGCAAGTCTGGCATCTAAACTGAAGTTATTAGCAAAATAAAAGATCACAACTATTCATCAGTTTTTGCGATACTTCGAATTTCAGAGCTATAGTCACAAAACAAGCGAAAAGAGCAGATATCCAAGCTCCAGGGCTGTCGCACATTTCGGACCCGATTGTTGATCTAACCAGTTTATCGGCAAGTTCCGGAGGGGTTATTCGTCTTTCTATGGCAACCAAGAAGCCAACTTCAACCTATCAGCAGGATGCAAATCAGAGAGTCAACCAGCAATTCCCAGTGGATAGCTCGCTTCTGCCGAAACAGGCTATTGCTGTCAAGAAGTCTATGCCTATGATTACTAAATCTCCTCCAAAAATAGATATCATTCCAGATATTTCAGAATTAGCACCAGAATCGCCGGATGATGATTTAGTCATTGGACCGAACAAGAAATCTCAACAGAGCCCAATAACATTCTAAAAACCAACCATCTCACCGGAGTCAAGCTCAATCAAATCGAGTCAGGACCAAAATTACAACATGTAAACATCTTCTAGATCGCCCGGAAGAAATAAAAGACAGATGCAATTTTAGGCAGTTCAGTTAGATATTAGTAAAGGAAGTTTCGGAAGCGAACACAACAGGAATCAGAGACTCCAAACCAGCATCGCCAGAGGAACTGAAGTTAAAAACTTCACTGAGAAGAAAAATTAGAGTCTACCTAAAAAATCTAACGAAAACTGAAAGTCTAAAACTTACCTAATTATATTCATATTTATACAGTTTCCTAATTTGCAATCTGGAAGTTTTCCCTAGAGGGGGAAGTGTCACGCTGCGTAGCCTTAGATAGAAACATAGACTAGTCTACGTCATTTTATAAGACAGTTTAAAAAAATTGTTCTGAGTTGTTAATTTGGGGCAGGTATCCCAAACTTGACAGATTGTTGAACTAAACTTTGACGTGTGAACCTAACGCTTTTGTTTTGTTGAAAAATTCCGTTGCAATCTACTTTTGAATTATATGACCAAGCATATCGAATCTTAACTAATGTGAACTTCTTACTGACATAAATTTCATTACTTTAATTTTTGTTTATTAGAAACTCAATAGCAGTTAACTATTTCACACCCTCATCAAAAAAAGTTTAGATCCACTTTTCACTACGTTGCTAAGCTATTTTTGTACTTTGCGTAGGATGCAGAAGAGTTTCAGATTCTTTAGTTTTTTTATTTTAAAAATCTATTGAAATTTTTTCCATGAAAAACTATTTCATAGATGTTGAAAGACTGAGTATAAACAGCAAAAAATTCTGACCTGCCTTTTTTCTCGGCGCAGTGAAAGCATTTTTTGATTTGCTTGGTATCCAAATCACGACTCAAATGGCTTCAAAATTATACCAGTACGACTAATTTTTGAGCGTTTTTTTGAAGCACATAAAACCGCACGAAGATAAAAAGCACTCTATGCCATATTTCCTTCTTTCTTTGTGAGTAATAGAAACTAAAAAAAGTGGTTGTAGAAATATTCTGTGCCTATTGTGCAGCAACTGAGTGTTCCTGCTGGTCACATTTGTCATTTCGATTTCAGACTGGACCTCGAAGACCAAAAAAAGAAGGAGTTGTCGGGTCTGTACCCTCTGTTAAACAGAGGTGACGTTACGCTACTCTGTCTTGTCAGCTACTGTCGCTGCCCTCGTGATGTGTTCAGACTTCTATTTCAAGCTGGGTTCCCGGAAAAGTTGCTGCTTCAGACATGCATGGGGAAAAATGCGCTTCACTTTGCATTAAATTACGACGATTCGGATTTGGTTGACGTGCTTCTTGAAAAGCAAACGAGAAAGAAGATTCTCCTTGAAAGCGTCATTATACTAAATGGACGAAATGCAAGTGTAAAAGAGTTTGCGGAAGTATGTGGTTACTCTAATAAACATCAATTCTAATGTTTTATGTTGTAGAATTTCTGTAGAATAAACCTTCATGTTTTAAATGATCGCGTTTTCGAACTTAAAAAATCAATTTTAGATGCTACTTAGAAAGTAAGGCAGGCTTTAAAATGTTTCAAAGTCCTCTCTTGGCTCAAAAACATGCCGTCAACCTACACCCATACCATCCCAAGCAGTGCCGGATCTAGGCATTTTTCGAGGGCTGGGGGATTTTCAAAAAAATTCTGAAAATTTTGTCGAACTTTTTTTTCAGATAGACCAAAATAGATTTTTTGAGCTCTCCCAAAGCACTAAAAACATCCTGTTTTGGCCAAAATGTTTGTGCCTCAGGCAAATTTCTAAATAAAAGGCTAAAAAAGGCATTCTTAGGCTCTTTTTGAACAGTTTTGACCAAAAAATTGCGTTTTTTTTTTGGCGCGCGCTTCCCTATCAAAATTAGTATATATTGGCGATGAAGGCTAGCCACCCAAAAATGAAGGTGTTAAAACAGTACCAACGGGTGTATCCTTTGGGTAGTCAGAGCGTCGAATCCCAGAGGAGGGTGGGTGGGCGGCGATCGCCTCTCGCAACCCCCCTAAAACCGCTAACGATCCCACGACTCCTAATATACATCCAAAATATTTCGATATGAAAAAAATAAGTGAACCAATAACTTTATAAGTTTTGCGCTGACTTTTGGTTGTGTGGGGTTCCATCAATTTATTATAATAAAACAGCTGTTTTCCGTTTTCCAAGCAAATTCAGTTGCTCAAGCCTTCCAACTAAAAACAACTAATATCATTTTACTGCAAAATCACTGAATTTATAGATGGTGTTTAGCTAATTTTTAGCTGTGGGGTTGCATCAATTTTTGAAAATAAATAATAAACTTATAAAAACACATATTTAAAAAAAATATTTTTCACGAAAATTGCCGTGTTTACAGACAACTGTAGTTGCTCAAGCCTTCTAATTATCAACACTAACCCATTTCTTTTCTTTCGCGAAACCAAAACTGCGATTCTAGGTGGTTTTCAGCTAATTTTAAACTGTAGCGTGGTGCATCAACTTTTTAAAAAACAAACTATTTTGACATTTTTACAAAAATTTGCCGTATTTCCGGGCGAATTCAATTGTTCGAGCATTCTAATTACCATTGCTAACCCATGTCTATTTTTTTAGCAGAAGAACTGTCTTTTTAGGTGGTTTTCAGCTAATATTTAGCTGTGGGAAGGAACATAAAATTTGAAAAAATTTTTGTTGCCATTTTTACCAATTTACTAATTTTTGCCATTTAAAAACCGCGGTTATTAATGATTTGCAGGATGATTTTGGTACTTTCATAGTATTGTAACAATTTTTTCGACTGCAACGACACGTACTTATTTTCTGGAATCAATTCGAACTTCATTACGAGGCCAAACTGTGCATTCTCTGCATTGTAAGCGGATTCCACAACAGGCCAAAATCAGATTTTTCGCTGAATCCGCAACATTGCTACGTTTCTTTGATCCTCTTCGCTGTTTTGGATTCCACAATTAAATACCTAAAACACTGTACCACTCAAACTTTCTCCAGAAATGGGCAAATTTGCTGAATCCGAGCCGTATTTGCGCAAAACAGAACAGTTTGTGGAATCCACAAACAAATGATAAGACATGTGTACTCTAGTTAATTTGAGCTGTTGCGAATTCCGCATCTGTAGGTGGAAACCACATATTGTAAGCGGAATCCGCAAATCGTAGGTGGAATTCGCATTTTGTTTGCGAATTTCGCTTACTTATATGTATATACGTAGTATAGCGTTTAAAATTCAAGTTTTTTTTTACTAGCTGGTCAAGAGAAAGTTCAATCGCATTTACTACCTTGATCAACTGCCAGTTGAAATGCCAAACGTTTGTTCTCAATTCCTGTCAACTCAACTTCGATCTGAAATCCTGTCAACCCATCTTTGATCTCAATTGTTGTCAAACACGACCAACCTCGATCTCAAAACCAAACTTCGATCTCAGTTCCTGTCAAACTCTCCACAAAAGGGGTACTAATATGGTAGAGTGGTCCCTTTAAAATAACCAGATTTCTTTAATTTGAGACATTTAGAGCTATAAAAATCGTTTACTAATTAATTGTGAGCTAGCTATTCAGAAAGATGCAGCATCATATATTCAAACAAAAAAACTGCCCTCATGGTTTGATTTCATCTTCGACTCATCTCAAGTGCTGCCCTCATGAGTTTACTCGAATCGGAATCTTTTAAATCATTATTTGGAATTGACGAGTTCCCAAAAACTGTCGAGTGTCTGGGATAGATGGCAATATGCCAAATGGCGATATGCACTGCGTTGTGTTTCTAAAACACAATTTATTCGGTGTTATGTTTCAAAACCAGTATTTGGAATTGATGACCAATACTTACCAATACTTACCTATTTCGGCAATGCGCTGTGCGTTGTTTTTCCAAACACTCTAAATCTAATTACTAAAAATACTGATTTACCGATTTAGTTAACCAATGTCTTGAGATTTGTTTGTGGATTCCGCGTTTAAATTCCGCATTTTGAATTCCGTATGCAATAGATAAGAATTTTATCACTAGCTTTTAATATTCGTATGCAAGCAATAGTCGTATGTTGTTTTTGTGATGGGACGCATGCTCGTACTACGTTTTTCTCGACAAAATTTACGTTACAGGTATTTGTACGCGAAGTCCACGGAAATGTTGTGAGTGGAATCCACTTAGTTTTTGAAACACGTTTAAAGATTTGTCTATGGAATCCAGGAAGATACAGACACAAAATTGTGCGCCTATCCATAGCACAGATTGGCCTCGTAATAGTTTGAAATAAATTCCTGAAAGTAGCAGAAAAAAATTGTCAAAGAAAAAAAAAGTTTTGTAATTGTTTTGTTTTTCTTCTTTCACTGGTTTTTTCCGTGTTTAGACGTTTCAGAGGGGAAAATTTCAGACAAAATCATTTTGAGATTTTCAGCTAAAATATAACAGTTACTTTAGCCAATATAAAACTGAGACATTTCAGCCAACTTCAGTTTGAGAAGACTGTACTGCTAGGGCAAGTTACAACTTTTACACTGAAACAGTACTGATTTTTGCTGGCAGACCGATCCGGGTAAGCAATGAGATATTGATATCCGGCTTTATCATTTGTTCGTACTATGTTTGTTTCGACAAAATTTACGTTACAGGTATTTGTACGCGGAGTCCACGGAAGTTTTGAAATTTTTTTGATGCTCTAATTTAAACAGACATCCAGCAAAACGCAAAAATTTCCGTTCGTATTTTTCTCGATAACCATGGAATATTGTTTGCAGCGCTGTTAATTCTGCCAAAATTGATGACTGAGATCATATTATTATGGTGTATCTCTTGGCATTGTAGAAATGATGTAGTGAGATTTTTTTGAGGTCTGTTTGGGCTACTTGTATTTTTTTATTGAAATACTAGCCCAAATATTCTTTATAGTGGCCGGCACAGTAGTTTCAAAAATATTTTTCAATTTATGAGAGAATTATTAACCGTTCAATAAAGAAGGTTCATTAAGGACCGGTGTTGAAGCAGGGTTAATCTGAACAAGTAAAGGTGGTTGTCATTGATATATCATGCTCATTTCTATCGACTATCTTCGCGATATGATTAAAAAGCTATGGCAATAAACCATTTAAATTGAACTCTCAAAGCTGAAACACCGATTTTTTGGAAATATTATTTTCGAAAATATGTTGATTTGTATTTTGAATTGTCAAGGTAGACCAAGTTATTGTTTTTCTGAAACCAAGAAAAACATAAGCTTTAGTGCCGTGCTCCGCGAATGCAGAATTATAGGGCTCGATATTCCGTACTTCCTGTTTACAATTCAATAATTGCAGTCCACATGTTTCTTTCGCTAGGCTCATCACTTTAGTCGCAAAAACTGTTTTTTTTTCTTCGCGAAATGGATTTGTTTTTTAATCATGACTGCACCTCTTATTGGCCACACGACCTGGTTTTTGTTCCGACTTTCGAAGAAGATAACAAAATGATTTTGCTCGGGGTGGTTTTTTTTTTCTCCAGACCATTAACTAGCCCTCTTTGACAAAAATTTATCATCAAACAAGTATATATGTGCTTTACCTCAAAATTTAAACAATATCTCACAAGTGATCATTTTTTGTTGAGTTATGGGGATGTAAAAGTTGTGGCCTATATAAACACCTCTGTTGGCGATTGGCGTACCCATTTCTTTGCTTCAATTTTTAAATTTAGTTCTTTATTTGAAAGTCAAAGCCCTCATTCAATTTTACCCTTAAGCAATTACCCAACCCAATTCTTTAAATTGCAAAATGCTAGCATTTGTAATTTGGATTACTATTTGAGCAGATATTTTACACATATATGTAGGAGCATATGTTTTGATTGCAAAAGAAAACATCTCTAGGCAGTGCAAAATGGAATGTTGTGATTACAAACCTATCTTTGGGCAACGAAAAGCGAAACTTTGCAAAATCAACAGACCCGTTAAAGAATACCACCAACAGGAAAAACAAAAAAAGACACTAGCAATAAGTATCTGCAGAGAAGTTGCAGAATTTCAGAACAAACTGAAATAGAAAAATAGCAGATTTGAAATGAACATTTGAAAGTTCGCATAATTTTGACATCTCTCATTTGAAGATTCAAATTTTTATTATTTAATTATTTTATAATTGTAATGTTTTATCACGTTTTATTTCAAGTTGGTTGATAAGGATAGGCAATTATAAGTTGACTTAAAGTAAGTTCCTTTTATTGTTTTATCAGAACGCTCGGTTAAATTTTCTAAGCCGACAAACTTTTTGAAAATATGTTTTTTCCTCCGTTTTTATTGTATCCTCTGAATTAAAATATCGGCTGTAAAGTCTGTTGACGCTGAGACAACTTTGAGTGACAAGCCGTAATAGCTTATTTCATCCAATTAACGCGCTAATAACATGAAATTTGAATTGAAGTGTACTTTTCGGACTAAGTAATACTTTGCTATACAGTGCTGATTTAAATAAACCGGACACTACCAACAAATTTGAAATTTCAAAC